AAGTATTCTCAGGGCTAGAGAGATGATGGTTCAGAGTTTAAGATCACTGGCTGCTCTTGCAGAGGACCCAGGTTCAGTTCCTAGCACCCACATGGTAGCTAACAGCCATCTACAACTCCAGTTCCAGGGAGGTCCGATGCCATCTTCTGGTCTCCATGGGCATTGCATGCACAAGAGCACTTCCAAACATGCAGGGAAAACCCATACACCTAAAATAAAGTATTTTCTTAGCAATTTATAGATCAAGTAACCACAAAAAAAATTCAGTAAAGATGCAGAAAATATGAATGATACAAATACAATTAAACTTGATCTAATAGGCATATATGAAGCTGCTCTTTATTATCATGTATAAACCATTAATAAGGTTGACAACATGCTAGTTACAATGTGAGTCTCATTAGATTTAAAAATATTGGTTTGGGGGGCTGGAGAGATGGCTCAGTGGTTAAGAGCACTGACTGCTCTTGCAGAAGGCCCAGATTCAATTCCCAGCACCCACATAGCAGCTAATAACCATCTGTAACTCCAGTTGCAGGGATCCAACACCACCTTCTGACCTCCACAGGCATTCCATGACATGGGTGCACTTAGACACATGCAAGCAATATACTCAAATGCATTAAAAATAAATAAAAAATTTTTTAATTAAAAAAAACTATTAGTTTGGTCCTGCAGAGACAGCCCAGTGGTTAAGAGCACTTACTAGTCTTGCAGAGCACCCACATCAAGTGCCTCACAACTGCCTGTAACTCAAGTTCCAGGGGATCCAGTGCTCTCTGACTTCTAAGGGCACTTAGACGTACATAATGCATAAAAAAATAAAATATTAGTTTGAGCTGGAGAGATGGCTCAGCAGTTAAGAGGGCTTGCCTGTCTTGCAAAGGACTCAGGTTTGGTTCCTTGCACCCACATGGTAGTTCACAAACATAACTCTAGTTCCAGGAGAGCTGACACCCTCTTCTGGCCTCTGTGAGCACCAGACATGCACATGGTGCACATACATGCAGGCAAACAGTCATACATATAAAATTTTAAAAACCTTAAAAGTATTAGTTAATACAGATCACATTCTCTGACCACAAGGCAAAATTTACAAATAAGAAGCTAGCTAACAAAAACCCATAATTTGGAAAAAATAGAAACATTTCTACATAGGCAATGGCTTAAATAAAAATAATGGAAATTAAAAGTGGTTAGGCTGGGTAGAACTGAAAATACTGCCTTATATGAAAAGCAGCTAAAATAATCTTTAGAGGGAAATTTATTTATTTATTTATTTATTTATTTATTGTCTTTCTAAGACAGGGTCTCCCTATAGCTCCAGCTGGTCTGAAACTAGACCAGGTTGGCCTTAATCACACAGGGATCCACCTGCCTCTGCCTCCTGAGTGCTGTGATTAAAGGTGTGCGCCACCATGCCCAGCTTGAATTTGTAATAAAAAATATTTATTTTATGTGTATGAGTGTATTGCCTGCATATATGTAAGTGTACCCCTATCATGCAATGCTTATGGAGGTCAGATAAGGGCACTGGATCCCCTGGAACTGAAGTTAGAACAGTTGTTCACACCGTGTGGGGGCAGGGAACCGAACCCAGGCCCTCTGCAAGAGTAGCCAGTGCTCTTAACCACTGAACTACCTCTCCAGCCCCAAGAAATTTATAAGTTTTAAAATTTATGTTACAAAAGAAGAATGGAAGAATGGCTAATGACAGCTGGGAAAAATGAACAGCGAAGTGCAAGAAGTAACAAAGAACAAAGCTACAAAGAATGATCACGGCCAAAATCAAAAGACAATGAAATCACTGCAAGATTGATCAAAAAACAAGGCAGATACAAACATTATTAGATGTTAAATGCAACATATATTAAAAATAATATTAGAAATGTTTGCCAGGATCTTTGACAATTTTGGTATGATAGACGAAGTACTAAGTGAAAATATGTCAAGCTAAGCAAAGTTTAAAAATAACAGAAAATCTAAATCATACAACCAATAAAAACTCTAAATATTTTTTGCAGTTTAAAATCTCCCTACATCAGGGCCAGATCATGGTAGCTTATATCTTTAATCCCAAAACTTGTGAGGCAGAGGCAGGCAAATCTCTCAGGCAGGTGAGATTGAGGCCAGCCTGGTCTACATAGCAAGTTCCAGGCCAGCTGAGGCTACAGGAAGATCCTGGAGGGTGGTGATAAGGGACTTGTAGTCAAGAGAGAAGACAGGTGATTTGACTAATCTTGTAGACATCCCAGTAAGAGACTTCCTGATCAGTGGACTGTTAAGCAGTTTCCAAACTATATTTAAAGTGTTCCAGGGCACTAAGACATTTAAATCTTTCTGAATTCCAGTGATATTTGACATTTCTCAAGTACCCCGAAACCTACTTGCTTTCAGTTCTCATCTTAAAAGTTACGTTGTCTTTTCACTTCTTTCAATAATATCCTATCTTTGCAGAGCTGAAATTTTTGTTAGTACTTAAAGTGGTTAAAAGTATCATCAGTATTAGTACGCAACAGAAGAGAAAGTGCAGTGGTACCCACCTGACTACAAGGTTTAAGAGCTTATGCACCCAAGACAGAAGGATGAAATCAAAGGTTTTTTGGACATTTATAGATACTTCTCAAACAACTAAATCATTAGGACATTAATTGCTTATCTCATTCTTTCAAAGTAACTAAAAGATTAATACCCCCACCCCCAAGCTAAGGATGATTGAACCCAGGGCCTTTTGCATGTAAGGCAAGCACTCTACTGCTAAGCCATATCTTCAGCCCTCTCTTAGGTATTTCTAAGAGAGCAAATATGAAAAAATTTACTAAAACGGTACACCAGAAACTTAAAAAAAAAAAACCCTTGTAGATGAAATGCTAGTATACTTCTCAATTATAGAACATTCTTTATAAGACTCTTCTGATTTTAGGACTGCATATGGTAAATCTAGCATCTAGAGATCTGTGAGGCATGGTTCTATGCTATGTAACTATTATGAGTATTAAATCCTTGATGTTCCTGCTTGGTACACTGACTGCTCACCTGTGCCTCAGGTGTCACCTGGAGTCAGAGAGCAGCAGTGCAGAATGGACACGGAGAGCCATGCAGGTGTCCCAAGCCTCACTCTACTTCGCCTCTGGCCTTACATTCCACATATCCTAATGCTATTAGTAAAGCTTGACATGAAATAAGATTTCTGATTTGTGTGAGATTTGATAATCTAATCACAAAGTTCATTAATAATTAATTGTGAATGGCATTTTTGTTTTGTTTTTTCAAAACAAATATCTTAAACTTCACAATTCTAAAATATTAGTGGAAATACAAAACAGCAGAAAAACTCAAAACTACTGCCTGTAGGAGCATAAATTAGCACAGCCATTTAGGAAAACTATTATTCAGTTGAACTAAATATGCACATATTTTATGACACAACAATTCCACTTTAAGATATATACTTTGAGAAACTCTTGTACACATGTATTAGGTAATATGTATAAGAAAATTCATAACAGAAATTTAAGTGTCCATTGAGGAATGACAGATCAGCTATGGTACATTTATATTATGGAATATTATAAAAATGATAAAAACAACACACAATAATTACATCTTGCAAGGTGGAGGAACCTAACAAACACAATGCTGACTAAAGAGAAAGTGAAAGGACGAAATTCAAAGATGAGAATAAAAATACGTTTTAGGGATACAAACATATATGGGGAAAAAAAATCAAGAAAATAAAGAGAAAATTAGCACAAATCCAGAATACCCTATGATCTTTGAGATGCAAAGAGGAGGAACATGGCGTTCAGCCCACCAGGTGCTTCTGGAGTTTGGTCCAGTTGTGTTTCTTAAGGTAGGTGGCTGATAGGGCTGCTGACCATCTTAGTGTTACTCTAACATACACAAAGACCTCACATGCACTTTTGTATGCTTATTTCATACTTTAAAGAGGAAAATGGGCCTCTATGGTGGCACACGCCTTTAATCCCAGCACTTGGGAGGCAGAGGCTGTGAGATTGAGGCCAGCCTGGTCTTCATAGTGAGATCCAGGCCAGCTGGGGCTACAGGGAGACCCTGTCTTCAAACAAACAAACAAACAAACAAACAAACAGAGAGGAGGAGGAGGAAGAAGAAAGGAGGAGGAGGAAGAGACTGGATTGTGGACTTTAAGACTCAATATGATTGTTATATGACAATGACTTTTGGTAAATAAATTACTAAAAAGATGGATACCAAAATGATAATCATAGTCATCACTTGTTACAGACTATGAGTGAGTAGTTTATTCATGTTTGTTTCTTTGGCTTTGTGTATTAAGCATACAGTTTTGGTGTTCTTTTAAAAACCAAATTAGTCCAGTATATTCAAGTATAGCACTGCAGCAGGCTGCACACCATGTTTTTTGGAAAAATCTTCACGATTCTTTGATCATATCCAGCACATATAGATATGTACATGTACACATAAGCACAGCAACATTATGACTGGTACTTTTGGGTTTCCATTTTACCCCTATTATAATCAAATCCTCATATAATTTAAAATTCTATTTCTGGTAATACTTTATACTTATCTCTCTTCTTGTATGCATGTATTACCTGCATATAGGTAAGTGCACCTGTGTTGTGCAATGCCCATGGAGGTCAGAAGAGGCTGTCGGATCCCCTGGGACTGGAGTTACAGACAGTTGTTGGCTGCCATGTGGGTGCTGGGATTCGAACCTGGGTCTTCTACAAGAACAACCAGTGTTCTTAACCGCTGAGCCATCTCTCCAGCCCAGGAATTACTATTTTTAAATTTATTCTTAACTAATTAATTTTTGAGACAGGTCTCTTTATGTATGGCTGACCTTGAATTTATAGAGATCTGTCTGCCTCTTACTCTCAAGTGTTCAGATTAAAGGCATGCACCAGTTTGCAAGGGAAATTTTAAGGAAAGTTTCTAAAACATGGTCTTGCACACAGAGCTAGCATTCAATTGATGATTTCCTTCAGTATCATGCTTTGTCTTTTAAGAAGTTAACATCATCTTACCTTTGTACTTAATGCTAACTGAGGAGCTTCTTGCTTGCCTAATTTTACTTCTATAAGGTGTCAAGGATCAAAGGCAAAGAGGAAAGGAGAGGTGAACCCTTCCATCAGCACAAGTGGCTACCTACCCATTGCCATCCTCTTTCCTGCCCCATTCAATTCTACCTAGGTCTTTGTAAGTTGATACTATAAGAAAGGGATTATTATCAAGGTACAAACAAAGCTGCTACATGCTGGCAGTAATATAATAACTAAGAAATTCAAGTTAAATATTTAAAATATTAACCAGGTACAAGATATACATTTATATCTTATTAAAATTATTTTGGGTTCTCAACTTAAAAAGCATACACACTTAAAATCAATTAAAGATGTACAATTACTCACATAATATTATTACTCTTGTGGGCTCTTCCAATGTTTTTACACCAACGATATTTACTAATATCATAAACCAGTAACTCTTCAGGGAAAAAGTAATTCCAACGCCGAATTCCTGAAATGCAAAGAATGTTTCTAAAAGTGCCATCACACTGTCATAAAATAGTAAATAAGGAGCAAGCTTAGCTTTACCTCCTTTAATGTCATTTTTAGTCACCAAAGAAAGAACAAATTGATCAACTTCAGGATAGGGTGAACACTGGAAACCTTCAATGGTTTCTGCTGGAAGAGGAAAGAATTATTTAGAAATGAGAACAGTTAATTGTTGAAAACATTAAACTTTAATCAAATTGGTTACTACAATTATGTGTTTTAAAGTGTCTCAGCTTTTTTGTGTTTCTTTGCAATTGGCCTTATCTGTTCTGAGTTCTTGCTATGCTACAATGAGGTAGTTAAAATTCGAACTTCACTTAGGTCAAATGTTGATGTCCCCCAGGTGGCTGATTCCTCCAAGGGGCAGGGCCTGCTGTGGGTGGGGGGTGGACTACTGAGGGGCTGCTGGGAGCCATCTTGGAATGGAAGCTGTGAGCCTAGCTCTGGGTAGCAGGAGCAGCTGGGCGTGCTCAAGGACAGAATGGCCTGTCAGAATGGACCTGGGGTGAGACTGCTGGCCCCTGAGGCATGAGTGAATGCTAGCGGTGACTATGGGCATGGCACAGGATATGGTGGTCTCTGATATGGTGGTCTCTGAGCCAGGGAGGCGCTGTTGGAGCTGAGCAGAATGGAGCTAGGCACCGGGTGCTTGTTTTTTTGTAGGTCACTCCCCCCCACCGCGCAACAATAATAAATGCACATAAAGATATGTTGTATGGTTTGCCTGATAGTGCAAGAGGCCCTGAGAGAACTCTGGTGACAGTTGACTAGCTTTATAGAAAGTCTCTGAGATAGTTTTAGCTGATTTCTTCACTCTGACAAGGAGAAGGCAGCCTCTCACCTAAGCACTGCACATTTCTACCAGCTAAGTCTGGGCATTGCCTTGAGCTGGCCTTGGCATTCTTCTGTTGAATATAAATGACCCCAGAGAACTCCAACATCAGATAAGGCCCCTCTGAGATTATGAAGATTCAAGACAAAAAAGGGCTTCTGTGTTATCATGTCTGAGCACATGAGAGAAATCACAAACATTTTCCAAACCACAAATATGACCAAATAATACTTTCTATCCTGGCTGACACAGCAGTTGCTACTGTTTTGCCAATTATAGTGTGGCTCTCCCTCCAGTCTGTCTTCCTTCTAGGTAAGATTTCTTAAGATAACCAATCACAAACTGGGTGTGGTGGCACATGCCTTTAATCCCAGCACTAGGGAGACAGAAGCAGGCAGACCTTTGTGAGTTCAAGGCCAGCCTGGTCTATAGAGTTCCAGCCCAGCTGAAGCTACAGGGAGACCCTGTCTCAAAAAGACCAAAAAAAAAAAGAAAGAAAAAAAAAAAGAAAAAGAAGATAAACAATCACACAGTTATCTGTCAAGTTAACATATGTCCATGCCTCCTTGTGTATTCCCTCAAACTCAAATCACCTAATCTAGGCCCAAAGATTTTAAGCCCTGTTCTGTTGTCTTCAAAACTCAATCTGTGTTCCCTTAGGTCTCTAACTGGAAGGCACTGACAATACAATTTTATCTTGTACCTAATAAGTTACTATTATAGTTTAGAATGATCCATTTACAAATTCACCTGTTTTTAAAATATTCTAAAATTATTCTTATTTTATGTGTATGAATGTTATGCCTGTATGTATGTAAGTGCACCGTGTCATGCAATGTCTGCAGAGGCCAGAAGAGGGTACCCTGGAACTGGAATTACAGTTATTAGCCACCATATGAGTGCTGGGAATCAAACCCAGGTCCTCTGTAAGAGCAGCCAGTGCTCTTAACCACTGAGCTATCGCGCCATCCTCAAATTTACTTAAGTTTTAATGACAGGAAAATCTGGTTTTCTTAAAAACAGTTTATATTTCACTTATAAAATTTAAATATGTAACTGGAAAAATTTTGGAAAATATTTCAGTGTAGAAATAAGAAAATTTCCCCCAAATGTCTAAAATACACCTTAAACAATCAGAAGAAAATAAACATGTAAGAAAATGTTATTCATATTTTAATGGGCTTATAATAATATAATTGGAGTGTGCATGCGTGCGTGTATGTGTAGTTGTTGATGTTACTCTTGTTGCTGGTGGCAGGGTTAAGGATCTGTTGAATCCAGGGCAAGTGATAGGTAAGTGCTCTACCACTAAGCTACATCCCCAGCTCCATACTTGTAACTTTAGAGTCTACTTTTTCTCTTACTAACATAAATAGGTGTCCTACACATTATATAGGTTTTACAAATCCAAACTTAGTGGTTATAAAATGTTTATATAAGAAACTTTAGGATCAGCCAGGCATGGTGGCACACACTTTTAATCCCAATACTTAGGAGGCAGAGGCAGGTGGATCTCTGTGAGTTAAAGGCCAGCTTGGTCTGCATGATAAGTGCCAGACCAGCTGGAGGTACAGGGAGACCCTGTCTCAAAAAGTCCAAAAAAAAAAAAAAAAGAAAAGAAACTTTAGGTAAAAACCCTGTATGCTCTTAAGTACAGGAATGAGTAAAATATGATAGAGCCATACAGAAAACACTGTAGCCATGAATAGGCTCATTGTATATTGGAAACATAGGAAAAGCTCAGCAGGGTTAAACAAAAAACTACTGCAGTAGTTACTGGGCTTTTAAATTAAATTATATTTATTTAATTTGTGTGTGTGTGTGTGTGTGTGTGTGTGTGTGTGTGTATGTGTGTGTGTGTGTGTGTGTTGTGTGTGTGTATGTGTGTTTGCCACAACTTAAGTATGGAGGTCAGAGGACAACTTGTGGGGGTCAATGCCCTCCAACCATGTGGGTCTCAGAGATGGAACTCAGGCTTGGCAGCAAGTCATCTCAAGCCATCTCATCAGCCCGCCAGTCTTTTGATTATGGACAAAAGGTTGAAAGAAATCATGTAGTTCTTATTTTGATGTGTTTATTTTATATAAATACACATATACACTACTTATACATTCTTTAAATATATTAAATGAAAATCAGTTGATATTTTAATTAGTAAGCACCTTCTAATATTTTTAGTGTGTCCAATCTTGGTAGAAACGTAGGAGTATTCATTTTTAAATGACCAGCAAATACAGATATTTAAACTTTAAGATTTTTAAGACAAAATAGTTTTTAGATTCTTAATTTTAATAGGAAATTGTTTTCTTAAAGTTACCTGAAATACCAGTGTTGTTAAAACACTCAGCTCGCTTTCTTTTATTCTGAGATGTGTCACATGTAAGAATTCGTAAAGTATCTGAGAATCTGAAGAGAGTATGTAAAAGAAATAAATTATGTTATGTTAAAGTAGCATGGCTAGAGAGAGGAAATGGAGTTCCAGGTAGTTGACTTTTAAACCACAAAAGTACCAGTCTTACCATAACAAAAAAAAAGAGTATGATTTGCTAATTACAAAAATTATTTTCTTTAATAATTGTTTGGTGATTGTTTAAAATACTTCCCTCAGAGTAAATCCAAGGATTATAGGGTGGCTGGCATGGTAGAAAGTATAGTTTTGGGGCTGGAGAGATGGCTCAGCAGTTAAGAACACTGGTTGTTCTTGAAGAAGACCTGGGTTCAAATCCCAGCACCCACATGGAAGCTAACAACTGTCCGTAACTCCAGTCTCAGGGGATCCGACAGCCTCTTCTGACCTCCGCGGGCATTACACTACACAGGTGCACTTACTACATGCAGGCAATATACGCATACACATAAAATTTTTTAAAAAGGTATAGTTTTACTCTCCAAACACAGAGTCTGAAATGTTTGTTATGATTTTAGAAGTATGAATAATAGGAAGAAATGAAGAAAAGAAGAATCAAGGCATGAGGGAAAATGACCAAAATTAACTGAATAACTAGGGACATTAATATCCATGAATAGCAGAGCCTTTTATTCTAGAGGTGTGACCCCACACATTAACTTGGATGCACAAACATGGGTAAGGTAATCTTGCTTAGGTAAGAACCACTCCTATGAGTGCACTAAAACCAGAAGGGTCAGAACTTTTATACTACTATGGCACTTCCCAAAGTACAGACACTGCATACCACCACCATGTCGGAACAGACACGTGGCTGCTATAAACATGCTATGTATATAGCTTAAACTTAGCAACCGTGGAAGGTCATTATTTCCACTTTAAAAAAAAAAAAAAAAAAAACCACTAGCCAGGTATGGTGGCACACACCTTTGATCCCAGCACTCGGGAGGCAGAGGCAGGCAGATCTCTGTGAGTTAAAGGCCAGCCTGGTCTACACAGTGAGTTTCAGGACAGCTGGGGCTACAGGGAGACCATCTCAAAAAGACAAAAAAAAAAAGTTTTCTTTGATCTTGCTGTTATTAAAGAAACTTAAAATTGAGATACATGAAAAAAAAGAACTAACCAATCTATCTTCCTCACTACACACAACTTTCCCTAGAGAAACATATTTTATATTTATTTTTTTGTTGTTTGTTTGTTTGTTTGTTTGAGACAGGGTATCCTGTCTAGCCCCAGCTGGGCTAGAACCAATAGACCAGGCTGGCCTTCATCTTAAACTCCTTATCTTCCTGATTCCATCATCCAAATGCTGGGATTACAGACATGTGCGTGCCACCACACGGGACATGAAGCACATTCTGAGCTGACAAAATTGCCAGTCTAGAAAAAGTAGAATGAATAAAACATAGAAACTTAAATGTGCAACAATAGACCTGATAATCAAGCATGTCATTATAATACAAATGCATAGAGCCATTAAAAGTTTTTTTGTTTTGTTTTTTTAAAGCTGGGTGTAGTAGTGCTAATCCCAGCATCAAGAGACAGAGGCAGGTGGATATCTTTGAGATCGAGGCCAGCCTGATCTACATAGTGAGCTCCAAGTCAGTTGGGACTGCAGGGAGACCCTGCTAGTTAGCTGTTGACAAACTATATTAACTTGGCAAATGCTTGTGATATGATGTTGAATAGAAGAAGCAGGTAACATAACCGTATCAGCAATGACCTCAAGGGAAAAACAAACACATTTTGTGTGGATTAGTGCTAGGGATTGAATCCAAAGCCTTGAGTATGCTAGGCACATGCTCTACCACTGAGCTTCATCCCAAGCAAGAAATGACTTATGAATAAAGGAGCTATGCTAGCTATACGTGTTATGTGTATGTGTGGAAGAAAACTAGACAAAAGTAATTATATTTTCAAACGGAATACAAGTGGTATTTTCTTCTTTATGAAGTAATAATCATTTTAGAGTAACTGGGAAATACATTAAATATAACTATAAAAAGAAAGAGGAAACTAAATGGTTAGAAATATCTCTTGCTGCTATTTTTCAGTTATGAGCAAAGATTTTTATGAACAAACTTTAAGGTAGAATCAATTTATACAATTCAGACTTTAGCAATATGCAATGCCATTCCCACTTTAATATTCATAAATATATGACATACTAATTCTGGAACTACATACCTGATGTTGCTAACCAAGGAAGAGAGAAAATACTGGTTTTCTTGAGAAATATCTTTTGACTGTTTAGGAAAAAACTTGTTATCTTCAGCGACCTCCAGAGCCACACACTTTCCTATTTTTGATGATTTATACAGCCGAAAGTTTCTGTTTCTTGTATAAACTCCTGCATCAAAAAAGTAATTTTAAAAAAGAATGCATGTTTTAGTGATTAGTTTTATAGTCAGAAAATAGTGTTTTTCTACAGAATGGCTAGAAGAGACAATTATTTTCCATATGTAGCTGTAAACAAAAAGCATTTAAATTGAGATAAACTTAAGTTAACATGGAAGAATGCCACATCCAGAAATAGCAAGCTAAATTATTTTGGCACAACTGTCCAATTGAAAACAAACAGAAAATAGATAAAGGGCCAGAAATAAAGTTTGAAACTACTGAGAGCTGCCAAGGTAGTAAGGGTTTGGGGCACAAAATCCCAGAGAAAATGGAGGCATCAAGAAAAAAAATAAAGTATCTACAATAAATCTAATGTAGGATGTATTAGATTCCTATCCATAAAACATGGGGGGAAATTAGAGAAAACTAAGTAAATAGGCCTATCATGTACCAGTACTGGACCAAGAACTGATCAATACAATGAACGGTGGAATAGAATAGAGTCCAAAACATACACAGACACTCAATTTATGGCAAAGGTGGTACTGCTGACCAGTCCAAAAAGGACTGTCATTTCAACAAACGGAGCCGAGACAACTTTTTATTTTCCACAGAATAAAAGATGAGTCCTGACTCCTGCACTCAATAAACAAAAATCCATTGCAAGCAGGTCATAGAACCTAAGTATAGCCCAAGCTGGCACTGACTTGCCTTTCACAAAGTACACAGGACAGTGGACAGCTGCCAGTGCTACTGACCTAGATCCACAAAAAGATGCTTTTCTCCCATGTTATTCTTCACAACTAAAAATGAAAGATCAGGGCCACTTTGCTCAGGTGACCGTAGCTTCTCTGGGGTCTCTGAGTTCAATGTCCATCTCTCTTCTATAGCTTTATCTATGGACATTTTATTAAAAGAAATTTCTTGTTTTAATGATACATTAGAAAATGATACATGGGAAACTCCATGGTCCATTATCTCTGGAATCCTATCATCATCTTCCTTGGCAATGAAGTGAAGAGCAGGCTGGAAGATTTTTCTCACAAAATTACCTAAGGAGAAAATGTATACGGATTACAATCAAATTCTTTTTCATAAACTATAACTTAATGTCTAGGCATAAACATACACACAATTTTATACCTTAGGACTTTTTTCTAGTTTTAAAATGGAGTTGTTGCTATAAATTGTAATATGTTTCTCCTGCTGCCTTTTTTGTCATCTTCTATTCTTTCAATTCCCACTGGCAAGGGACGGTTGTAAACACATCACATATTGCTAGTAGGGGCTTGAGCCCAGATAAAGTCCACTCTCACTACTACAAAAGGAGTACAATGATCGCTACGGTCCGTGACTCAAGGATGAGGGGTCTGTATTCGGACACTGCTGTGGAGACGGACAGAACACCAGGACTCTGCCCTGGCCTCCTGTAGTCAGCATACTGGGCAAAATTCTCACAAGCTTACAAAGTTCTCTTTCTCTTGCCACAACATGCCCAAGGAACCCTCACTTTGACAGTCTCAAGGTTGTTACCAATCATAACCTCAAACTGGTCATGAGATGATCTATGGCCTCAGAGCTAAAATCCAGAATTAAAGCAATTAATACATCTTACATTTCAACATCTGCCCTAAGAGTCTGCATAGATGATTCTACCCGTACCATAAAAAAATTGCTAAGACAATCTGGAACGTCTTTAAACTCACATGTACTATTTATACCACACAATGAAATAATAATTCAGCTGCAAGTCTCATGTATAATAATAGTACATAAATGAAATAATGCAAGAAAAATTTAATCTCTAGAACTGTAACTGTAGGTTTCTTTATCACTTTATATATCAGAAAAGTTTGAGTCTTTAAATCATAACATAAGGATGCTGTTCTGATTACTTTTTCTGTTGCTGTGATAAACACCACGACATAAAGCAACTTGGGGAGGAAAGTTTATTTGAGGAGGGAGGTTTACTTCATTTTACTTCAAGTGACAATCCATCACTGAGGAAAGTCAGTACAGGAGATCAAGACAGGGACCTAGAGGCAGGAACTGAAGTAGAGACCACTGAGCAAAGCTGCTTACAGGGGGCTGAAAAGATGGTTCATCGGTTAAGAGTGCTGGTGGCTCTTCCAGAAAACTGGTTTGATTCCCAGCACCCACATGGCAACTGTCTGTAACTCCAGGTCCAGAGGATTAGACACCCTCTTCTGCCCTCTGTGGGCATTGTATGCATGGATGCACTTATGTGCATGTAGGCAAAACACTCATGCACATTTAAAAAAAAAATTAAAGCTCCTTACAGGCTCTCTTCCTCTGTCTTGCTCAGTTAATTTTCTTATATAGACCAGGCCCACCTGCCTAGGCATGGGACTGCCTACTGTGGGCTGAACCCTCCTACATCCATTAGTGATCAAGAAAGTGCTCCCTGGACATACCCACTGGGCAACCTGATGGAGGAAATTCCTCAGTTGAGGTTCCCTGCTCCCAAGGTGTCTCCAGTTTGTGTCAAGTTGACAGAAATGAACCAGCACACATCCTCTAAACTCAAACTCCTTTCTCTAAATATGATTCTCTTATTCAAAGAAAGAAATATTACTTATTTTTTGTTTTGCTTTTTAAAGGCAGGGTGTTGCTATGCAGCCCAGGATGGTCTTGAATTTGCTCCTAAGTCTCCCAAATTCTAGGATTACAGAATTTGTGACAGCAGGATTGATACATATTTAGTGGGGTTTTTTATTTTATTTATTTATTTTATGTGTTTGAGTGCTTTGCCTGCATGTTTATAAGTGTACCAAATACATGCAGAGGCCAGAAAAGAGCTTTGGATCCCCTAGAACTAGAGTTACAGATAGTTGTTAACTGCCATGTAGGTGCTGGAAACTGAACCTAGGTTCTTTGAAAGAGCAGCCAGAGCTCTTAACAACTTAGCCATCTCTCCAGCCCCCAAGTTTAGTGCTTTAAAAGAAACTGGAGCTGGGTTTGGTGGCACATGCATGTAATCTCAGTTCTCAGGAGACTGAGCTTGAGGACAGCCAGGGCTATATAGAAAGACCTTGTCTCAAAATGAATAAATAGGGGCTGGAGAGATGGCCCAACGATTAAGAGTGCTTTCTGCAGAGGACTTGAGTTTAGTTCCCAGCACCACACAGACAGTTACCAGACAGCTCACAACCACCTTTAACTCCATCTTCAGGAGATTCAGCACCTTTTTGTGGCCTCTGTGGGTACCTGAACTCATAAAACATAAATTCATGCAGACAAACACATACATGATTGATAAATAAATAAATAGTAGGCATTAAACATTAAAATGAAAGCAAAAGCATTTGATCCTTGCAATAACATATAGATATGATTATTTCTGGAATGAAGGAGAGCAGTAAATACTGAGTGAGATAAGTCACAGCATATCAAAGGATTCTGAAACAATGTAAGCACTAGTTTCTAAAGTCAGCTTTCCTAGAAACTTCAAATTGCATCTACCTGACCTCAGATAATAACAGAAGTGAGACCAGGACAACAGAAATGGTAGCAAGGGCAGGGCAGAGGCAGGGAGGCCTTTGACCTTTGGCAAGAAGCTGACTTGGTCAGAGTATAATGGCAGTCAGCCAGCTTACATCTTAGCACACTGGCTCCCAGCCAACTACCTTGCTGTCTCCTTCCCTTTTCTACTCTTAAGCCCTCCCTCCTCCATATCCCCTTTCCCAGTTCGTTCACCAGAGACTCTTATCATGTGGGAATAAGTCAAAAGAACTTCATAGAAACTTAGGTACTGTGGCAGAAGAGTATTGTACCATCAAGTTCTCTAATCTCTTACATTTGATCTCCTTCCTCTTTCTACTAGGCTAGTAATAGGAACTTGAAGTGTCATCAAGAGAAAAACTGAGAAAGGGGAAATCAAGGGGAAATGTAGACTAGTTTGTATTCCCTGCACCTGATTTCTGGCATCAGAATGAGACAGGCTTGGATGCTAGCCCATTCATCAGTTCTGACTGTCTCTCATTTGGTTATGCTGGACTAGCCACTGCTTCCAAAGTAGCCATGAACTCCTGTTTCTACTTTCTTACTCTTGTCTATGTGATGGAATTTTAGCCATAGCTCAGATGGACTATCATCTGCTTTCAGAAGATACCTATAGCAGAGACTGCTTGCTACCCAACAAATATCTGTTCTCTTCGTCCCTAGCAAGATTCTCAATTTGTAGCCTTATGGTCAGAAGTCATAGAACAGACCGTGAGGAATCAAAAAAAATGTTTTCACATTCTGCTTAAAATTCATGCATTCACTCAATGAGTATTAAATGCCTACTTATAGTTACTATTGCTGTTGTTAATATTTTAAATATTAATATATGTTAATCACTGAAAATAGAGAGTAAGAAACAGTCCCTGCCATACGGAAACATTAACTAGCACTGGGAGATGACTCAGAGGATAAAGTGCTTGCTACATAAGCATGAGGGCTGGAGTTTGGATCCCCAGAAACCACATCTATAACCCCAGCCCTGGGGGGAGGGTTGTCAGAGACAGGCAGGTCCTGGCAGCTTGCTGGCCAGCCAACCTAGCTGAAACAGCAATCTTCAGGTTCAGCAAGAGACTTTGTACGTGGAAAAGTGATGATGGAAGAATCACAATGTCAACCTCTGGCCTGGACATGTGTCCATATGAATGAATGCACCCACACCTACATGCACACACATATGCATCATACCCCCAAACACAGGGAAACATAAACACAGAAACACTACAGAGACTAGAGAAGATAAGAAAACAGGAAACCACCTCAGGGAGTAGTAAATGCTTCTGCACAATAGTACTGGACACTGTACACCCAGAACACTAGCCTTTTAAATCTTAGGGTTGGAGGGGCGACAGATGACATTAAGTATACAGAGTGTTGATAGATCAGCTGAACTGGAGTTCAGACAGCAGCAAGAAAAGTGCAAAGACCCAAGCACTAGAGAAAAGGCCTGTTGTGGGAGCACAGTGGGCCTCACCGCATGAGCTAAAGCATCTACCCTTTTCCTGAAGACAGAGAACCCCCAAAGAGTTTGAGGCACACCAGTGCTACAACCAGTCCACTCTAACTAAACCAGCAGGTAGAGAGATGCATAGAGATCGAAGACACCAACATGTCTACTGGATGGTAGTCATACACTCAGCAATGGACATTACAGGAGAAGGAGCAAGTTTTCAGGGAGGGATAAGGAGCATGGGGAAGGACATGCTGAGCTGAAGTGTGGGAGGGAATGTTGGGAGGCAGTTGTTGCAGGAGTATGGCTCTAGAACAATCTGGGCTAAAGATAAGGATTCTTATGGGTTGTCAATACTGATGGTAATTGAAGTCATGAGAGAGAATGATCATGAAAGGTGATAAAGTGAGTAAAGCATCAAGCACAGAGCCTGTAATCACTAACATAAGGGATGAGAGGATGAGACAATAAATGCCCAGTGGGGAGATAAGGACCCTGTGTTCACAGTACTCTAGCTCAGTATGATCCAGTATTTCTCTAATCCAGCACTTATAGTCACAACATCTATGCCAGTCCTTTAATGACTGTGTCCATGCCTTTTACTCTAGGTGGTTGTGAAGCTTCAAGACACCTGTAGCTCTGAAAGGGGTTGCCTGTTACCTGAATGTCAGTAAACTGCCACTCTTTAAGCCTAGGACTCTCTGGCGTACCCCTGCTTTGATAAACACTGAGGACTCTGGCTTCTATTCAGCCTTCCTTATTTTTTTGGTGCCCTCATTTGGCCTATTGTGTCTTCTCTAAATTGACTTCATTTTATTTGAGGGTCTTTGTAATCCTAGGACAAATATTCTGGTTACACTTTCAGACTTATATACTTAGGCTTCATTCCAATTCCAAAGTTCTTCCCCTGGGACAATAAGCCCTGCTTAATATTACCTGGGGCCCAACCCCCAAACCAAGGCTAATTCAAGGCAAAAAGTAAAGGCCAGGAACCCAGGTACAAGGTATTGTAGATAAGGCCTTGTACAACTTACTAGAAAACTGAAATGAATCTTGTTGGAACAAAACCCAGTACCAGGTACACATGGCCATCCCAACATTTATGTTAAGAGGCAATAATGCCACAGATATCCCAAGTACGTTAAACTGCCTGGACTAGAAAGATAGGTCATGGCCCAATTCCCAGTCCTGAAAACACAAAAACTCATACTTGGTCCTTTTAGTAGAACTTAGCAACCATAGAAACTGACAAATATTCAGAAAATTTCAAGAGAAGTAGCAAATATGAGCTTTTAATGTAACTGTGATTTTTTTTTAAAGGTAGCCAGTGTACTTACCAACATGAATGTTATCTTTAAATGCCACATCATGGAGCTGAAATATTAGATGGCAGCTAAATTTTTCTTCAGTGCTAGAATCCAAGTTGAAAACATCTTCAGATGAACAATGAACACTGTACAACTCTTGAAGTGCTTTACAAACATACTAAAACACAAGTAAAGAATTTATGGTTTTGGTTTTAATTTTTTCTATGAGTAAAATTAAAAAATCCTGTTTACAAATAAGTTTTTAAGTTTAAAAACTGGGGCTGGAGCTGAGAGTGGTGGCACATACCTTTAATCTCAGCACTTAGGAGGCAAAGGCAGGGGCATCTCAGTGAATTCAAGGCCAGCCTGGTCTACATAGTGAGTTGCAGTCCAGCTGGGGCTACAGGGAGACCCTGTCTCTTTTTTTTTTTTAAAAAAAAAAAAAAAAAAAAAAAAAGTGGGGCTGGAGAGATGGCTCAGTGGGTATGAGCACTGGCTGTTCTTACAGAAGGCCTGGGTTCAAATAAGAGAACCCACATGGAGGCTAACAGTCATCCATAACTCCAGTTCCAGGGGATCTAACACCCTCTTCTGTCCTCCTCAAGCACTGAACGACACAGGTGCACTACATATATGCAGGCATAACACTCATACACATAAAATAATAAAAATAATTTTTTTTGTCCTTTTGAGATAGTGTCTCCCTGTAGCCCCAGCTGTCCTGAAGTACCAGGCTGGCCTCGAACTCACAAAGATCCACCTGCCTCTACCTCCCAAGTGCTGGGATTAAAGCTGTGTGCCGCCATGCCCGGCTTAAAAATAAAAGTTTTTTAAAGTTTTTTTTTTTCTTTTTTTTTCTTTTTAAAGCAGGGTCTCCGTGTAGCCCCAGCTGTCCTGGAACTCACTATGTAGACCAGGCTGGCCTCGAACTCACGGAGATCCGCCTGCCTCTACCTCCCAAGTGCTGGGACTACAGGTGTGCGCCACCATGCCCGGCTTTTTAAAAAGTTTAAACATAGAATTACTTTCACAATATTTACAATAGAACAATCTTAGTGATTTACTCATAAATTCATCATTTAAAAAATACTATGTGTTTATATTCAAAAATTCATAGGCTTTCAGAGCTAAAGAAAACTCCTAGAAGTCAACTTATATATTAATTTCCTCTAAAATCACAATAAAAAGTTCCTTTTTAAGCTATATCCATCTCTAGGAATATAGCCTTGGGGTGATGACTTGATATTGATCGCTGGCAGCAAGCATGTGGTACAGTGTCCAAGATGTGGATTCAGAAAGATCTAAGTTTGAATTCTGGCTTGGCCCTCCTGCCAGCCCTGTGGCTCTGGTCAAAATCCTGACATTTCTCAACTGTGAGATAGGACTGATGAATATCACCTAACATTTGGAGTTGTTATAAGAAGTAAGGAGAAAATGAGATTAAGGAATTAGCACAATTCTAACACATATCACTGCTTAAAAGGACTGCCTGTGCAGCCCAGGACAAGCTACTTCTCCCAGACGGTCAGTCTTCTTGCTGGCAAACCGAACCTCCTAAAAACTGCCATGTGGGATTACCTTGAAACTTGCAAAAATGTTTGTAAAAGTTTGTCACCCACCTAAATACCTAATAAGTATGCAATAAATTGTAGTACATGATTTGAGTCTACTTTTAGTAAATTTTCATTTTCTCAGATTCCCTCGATCTGTCACTCCACATCAAATTCTCCCTATATATCCTCTTTTCAGTACTTACACAGCTATAATTTTACACTGATTATATTATTATTTTCATATCTGCTTCCTCTGTATTACAGAGGAGGTCTCCCAATATCTGTTCTCTCCTTATTCTACAGAAACAAAACCCCGATTTTTAGCTAAGTGAGAGGCATCTAGAATAAAGACGCTCCTTTACAGCAAGTGTGACCACTGCATAAGTGTGGCCAATGGGGTATGAAAAGAAGCAGAGCATGTTATTTCTAAGCTATAATCTTAAAGACAAGGGGCATGCCCTGGCCTGCCCCTTTTCTACTGGAATGCAGACACAGTGGTGTGAACCATCTTGGACAATTTGAATAAGGCAACATTTTAGGAAGAACAAAGCAACAAGCTTAGTCTTTAATACAGTACAGCCATGCTCCTTATTACATGAGCAAGAAGTAAGCTTTCATCTTCTTTAAGCCACTTAATCTTGGATCTTTTCTATGGCAGCTAAGTCTATCCTAATTTCTTATTCTTCATTAGATTAAAATTTCTATGAAGGGGATGGACAGATGGCTCAGTGGTTAAGAGCACCTGCTGCTCTTGAAGAGGACCCAAGTTCAATTCGTATCATGTACATGGTGGCCTAAAAACCATCAGTAACTCCAGTTCCAGGGAATCTATACCTTTTTTATGACCTCTGTGGGCATTGCAGGACACAGGTGCACTCACATTCATGTAGGCAATATACTCATACAATAAAGATAAAGATAGTAATAAAATATTTTTTTTAATTCTATCAAGTCAGAAACTATGTCTGAAACTATTCCTGAAACCCAGGTACAGGGCCTGACACTCAGTAGGGCTGAAAAGTTTTGGTAGATGAACAGAAGTCTGTGCTTTGACACTACAGAAAATAAATTTAGTGGCTCTTAAGTTTCTAGTAACCAATGTTTCTCAAATTACCTTTCCCAAATTAAATTTTAGATAGAATTTATTGTTATTTATACAACTAAAGAATAAAATCTAGAGCTTAAAAATACATGATTACTATATTACTGACAAAATACATTAGCACAGCTGGGTATGGTGGAACACACCTTTAGTCCCAGCATTTGGGAGACAGAAGCAAGCGGTTCTCTGTGAGGTCGAGGCCAGCCTGGTCTACATAGTGAGTTCCAGACCAGCTGGGGCTACAGGGAGACCATATCTCAAAAAGACCAAAAAAAAAAAAAAAAAATTAAAATGCATTAGCACTGGAATTTATCCTAAATTGTAGGACTGGCTTTATTAAAATGTATCAGTTAAGACATTAAACCAAAGTGTAATAATATGTCCAGTTGTTACTAATCACTTATTTATTAACTATATGTTAATTTAGAGATAAGAACTAGTCTAATTTTATGGGTGTGATAGTACACACCTGTAATCCAAGCACTTACTTGGAAGGTAGAAGCAAGAGGATCAGGAGTTCAAGGTCATCCTTAGCTACATTGTAAATTGGAAGACTACTTGGGCTTATATGAGACCTTGAGTCTAAAAACAACAAACAAGCTGGACCAGGTGGCACATGCCTTTAGTCTCAGCAGAGGCAGGCAGATCTCTGTGAGCTCAAGGCCAGCTTGGTCAATATAGTGAGTCCCAGGCCTGCTGGGGCTACAGAGAGAAAGGGGCTCAAAAAGACCAAAAACAAACAAACAAAAAAAACAAGCAGGGCTGGGCTTGACACACACCTTTAATCCCGGTTCTAGGGAAGCAGAGACAGGAAGATCTCTGTGAGACTGAGGCCAGACCGGTCTACATAGCAAGTTCCAGGCCAGCGGGGCCATAAGGAGAGACCCTATCTCAAAAAAACAAAACAAAAACCAAAGAAACCAAAAAGGGTTAGCAAGATGGCTCAGTGGGTAAAGGTACTTGCTGCCAAGCCTGATGACCTGAGTTGGAGCCCCAGGACCCATACAGTGGAAGGAGACAACCAGTGCCTGAAACCTGTCCTCTGATGTCCACATTCCATTGTGGCACATGCATGTGCACACAACACACCAAAATAAATAAATGAAAGTGTAATTCAAAAACAAACAACAAATAGATAAACTTATGTTTCTTCTCTCAGACTCAAAATATACTTACTGGATTATAAACTTGTATGCAAGTATCACATAGTAAACATATTGAATAAAAATGTTGTATAATCCAAATCAAAAACCCCATAACATTTTTCACAGAATTGGAAAAAAACCATCCTAAGATTCATATGGAAGCACAAAAGACATTGGCTAGCCAAAGCAACCCTGAGCACTAAGAGCAATGCCAGAGGGAGTACTATACCCGATTTTAAGCTGTATTACAGAGCTATAGTCATAAAAACAACATAGTACTGGCACAAAAATAGACCCATAGGTCAATGGAACAAACCTGAAGACCCAAATATGAGTACATGCAATTTCAGCCACCTGATATTTGACAAAGGGGCCAAGAACATTCACTGGAGGAAAGACAGCATGTTCAGCAAATGGTGCTGGCAAAACTGGATCTCCACCTGTAGAAGAATGAAATTAAACCCCCATCTTTCACCTTGCACAAAAGTCAATTCTAAATGAATCAAAGACCTCAATGTAAAGCCTGAAACTCTGAAACTGTTACAAGAAAACATTGGACTTTGTAAACCGGACACCAATATCCCAGGAAACAAGGGCAAGAATTAACATGTGGGACCTCATTAAACTAAAAAGCTTCTGTATATCAAAGGAGGCAACCAGGAAGTGAAGAGAAAACCCACAGAATGGGAGAAAGTCTTCACCAGTGACTTATC